CTCTGCCATTCGGTCGATTAAGTCCCATGCCTCCTGGGTAGTCTTATTCACCAGTGCACCACCACTTGCTGCATCAATGATATTTCTATCGTTCATCAGTAGTCCCTCGTAGAAGTACTGAATCAGCAGTTGATCACTTATTTGATGATGCGGGCATCGGGTACGCAGCCTGGTGAACCTCTCCCAATATTCATATAAGGATTCCCCTTGAAATTGCTTGATGCCACATATTTCCTTTCGCAAACTAGCAGCTCTGGATGCAGGGAAATATTTTTCAAAAAATTTTTCTGCATCTCTGGCCACGTGGTGATAATGCCTGCAGGTAGACAGTATAACCAGTCCTTTGCCGAATCCTTTAGAGAGAAAGGGAAGGCCCTTAATTTAATTTGTTCATCAGTTACTCCCGAAAGCTTCATACTCGAACACACCACATCAAATTCCTGCATGTGTTTGTGGGGTTCCTCTCCTGGCAGACCATGAAAAACAGGCAACAAATGTATTAAACCAGGTTTTAATTCAAAAGCTGCATTCTCACTAAGGCGAGGAAAAGTTATGCAAAGAGGTTGTTGGGTCAAGTTTGGAGCAGCCAACTCCCTTAATGTTTGTGTGTTAGCCATGGGGATTTCTTCTTGCTCTGAGTCACTCGAAGTGTCCCCAAATGAATCTATTGGTTCAACTTCTGGCTCAGGTCTCTGAGATGTAGCACTGGAGTGCTCCTCTCTGAGCTGTCTGGTTTCTTTCCTTGTTCTACGCGCGGTCTTCTCTACTTCAGGGTCAAAAACCAATTCACCTGTACGAGAAGACCTAGGCATACACTAGAAAAATACTAGAAAATTAGAGCAAAAATGAACTTATTTAAAGAAACAAATAATAACGCCAGTCCCCGGCAACGGCGCCAAAAATTGACAGGTCGTCAGCCTGTGCAATAATAATAATAAAATCCTAACTACCACTAAAAGCAGTCAATAATCAATCCTAGGTACTGGAGCAGGGACTCTAGGTGTGCAATGGGTTACTTGATTCACCCTGTTCCCGAAGAGTTTGCTTAACCCGATATACCAGAATTAATTAGTCGACGAAAGTTACTGAATAGTAGACAGTGGCAAGTAGGGTCGTCTCCTCAGGGACTGGGAATATTTGTCTCTTTTTAAATGCCAATTGGTAAGGGGGGATTTCACCAGAATGAAACTAAAATCAATTGTATAATTCAACAGAAATAAATAAATAATTAACTAGCACAAATATAGCAGAAATTTAATCAAGAATAAATAAATTCTAGCCAATGATACAACTACTCAGGCGCAGTCCATTTATCCGATCATTGATGCAAGAGAGATTCACTTAATTTATTAATAGGCTAGTTATAGTCATCGATGAACTCTAATGACCAATTTTTCCTTAATTTATAGATGACCAAGGTACGACCATTAATCACCCCTAACCAGAAAAGTACTCCTAGGTACGACCGTAGGAATTAACTTTCCAATTGCATTAATAACCAGAAAAACCTAGCCCTAATCAATAACACGCTCGAGGGTTATTTAAATTAGATTGCACGTTCCCCTAATGTGTAAACACACCAGTTGCCACTAATATTAATCAATCAAACAATTACGGATTCAATTGACTAAATTGGCACGAGATTAGTAAATCACATTGAACATCGGGCCCTTGACATCCAATTAATAAAATAATCCCATGAAAATTAAATCAGACAACATGCAAATATTAATAGATAAAGGAACACGTGAAAACTAATTAGATCTCACAGATTTTCGAGACTGCGCCGTCGAGTTGACCCTTGACTATATGGAAGATTTAGCCACGCCGCATAATTAAATCATCACACGAATTAATGGATTGCAAAGGCATAGCGTTTTCTATTAAGAAGCAAGGAATAAAAGGTGTTTTTCCGGTTGGAAAATTTTGTCGAACACCTGGCGTGTGTCAGAGGCCAGTCAGGAGAAAAGAAAGAAAAACTAAAGACTAGGCTAAAAACTAAAACTAGAGATGTCCCTGCTACTCTACGTTATCTCTATTTAAGCAACAAAAGAAAGATGACTAAAGGCTATCTAGGTGGTCCCCACACATGTGGACAAAGCCTTCAAAGTACTTCTTGCCCAAGTCTCTTTCCGTAGCTTTCTTTGAAGAGTCCAAATGACTTATAGCTTTTCACTAGCTTGTGGTCCTCACCATTCCAAGGGCCCAAGAATTGAAGTCCTTAGAAGTCTCCCTATTTTCCATAAAGTCCTTCCTTTTTGGTAGTTTTCCGCTTCATTCCTGAAATTAAGTCCAGATACCAAATATGAGTAAATATCAGCAATTAACACAATATTTATCAGGGATAAAAGGGGAAATTAATAATAAAATTACTAACAAATTATACCCTATCATACAGAAACAAATTTCTTGAATTAACATGCTTAACAATGAAAGCAAAATTAGGCGAAGAATAAATGTGGGTGCCGGATTACATAGCGCAAATATTTTTTATCCCTAAGGTGTCTTCTTTGTTTTCTTCAACTTTTCGTTTTCCTTGTACATTTGACACTTTTCTCTATTCCATTTTCTCGAGAATTGAGAAGACAATCGGTCCAACTTCTTTCTTATTGGTTTCTTCTTCTTCAGTCCAAAAGTCTAAAGATATATAGAAGCAAAATATGCCATTGCCTTCTCTGTCTCTTTTCCCATATGTCAAACAGAGAGTTTTCTACTCCCTCCGTCCCACTTTGATAGTTTTGTTTTCCTTTTTCGTCTGTCCCAAATTATAGTCCACTTTCCCATTAAGAAATGTAATAATCTTTCAAATTGTCTAAAATACCCTCATTAAATATCTTGTTATTAATACATTGTTATTAAATACTAACCCATTACATTGAATACATTGAGCTTTTCCAATCCTAACCCATTAGCTGTAACTGATATTAATTGGCACTATTCGTGATTAGCATAAGGGTATTTTAGGAAATTATTAATCTAAATTTATGTTTCCAACCAAATTAATTACACTTTCTTAATCTGTGTGAAAAAAAACCAAGACTAACAAAACGGGACGGAGGGAGTATTTAATTTAAATTTTTTTCCCTTATTCTTTTCCTTTTCTCCGATGCATGGATTTGGTTTTACCTCTTTTCCAGTATTTTTTGTTTAGATATTCATAGATGGTATTTTTAAGTTGGCCATTGTTTTCTTGGTTATGGACCACTGAAGTATAGCCGATGTGATCAAATTAGTTTTACAATTTTTCCATCTTTAGTTCTTTTTCTTTGTTAATGAGTTTCAAATCAATCAAAAAACAGCTCCCGGAGGCAAGTAAAACTCGGAGTTCAAGTGTTCGACGGATTACAGATTCATTTCTTTCACTTCATCTTTCTGCAGGTAGAGAATACAAATTCCAGTCTGTACTTATTATTATTTTTCTTGAAAAGGAATCAAGAAATCTCTGTTCTCACTCTTACTTTGTTTCATATATTTGTCCCTCAAAACTACTGTGTTGATAGATCGTCATCGGAAGCAGTTTTTGCACTGAAATTCACGTAAGTATCCCAATCCAGAGGAAATCAGGATTGTTCCAATGGACGGGGAAGACTCATTGTCTCCTCAGATTACATCAAAAAGGCGAAAAGGAACTGATTCTTCCAATTCAACTACTGTGGAGATGAAGGATGAGAGGAAATTATGTCTGACCAGCATAACTCCTCGGTCTAGTTACTCGACTAGGACCGATAGTAATTTGAGCAAGACACAGGGTTATGGTCTCATTTGGCAAGAAAATGTTCACAGGTCACTGGAGGTGCTCAGAAGTCCAAGATTGCTGCTCTGTGTGAATGGCTACCAGTTTCTAGTACTGGTTCTCAGGTCCACCATTCTGAAATTAAGAAGGATTAATCAATTAGTAATCCTTCCTTTTATATTTTGACAAGTATTAATTGATTTACCTCTCCTGTATTTTCTTTTTTCAATGACAGGCTGTTGCCAACAATGATTGTTTAGCAGATGTTGTTGCATTACAAAACCAGAAACGCCTTCTTATTATTTTTTTTTGTCGAAACGATAAGATGATTTCATTGCTTTAAAGATAAAAACATACAAGTACGAGCAACGGCTCGATCGAACTCTACACAGTAGTGTTCATAGACACTGAGGAAGCTGTCGCTCCTCATCCACAATAATGCTTAAAGCATCAACACTCATTTTTTTACTGACTATCATATCTTCTTCCCTATTCAAACCAAAAGAGCACATGCGAAACAAACTCTATAGCTGAGAGATGTCTTCAAGTACTGTTGCCATTCTGCTGTCCGCTGGGCTCTGGTGTTTCAATTGTCTCCACAGTTCTTTGTTACCAACTCTCAGCTTAATTTTGCTCCACTTACGATGCACAGCCTTACACAGCACTAGTTTCAGCGCCAAAGCTTCATCTAGGAGTTTGTTTCCAGAACTGATGTCTTTCATTGCCCACCCTATCATCGTATTGCATGCAAAAAACTTAACTTTGACTCCAATTCCCATGAATAGCTGCCCTTGTTTCATGGTTGTAGACACCTCCATTATCACTGCTCCTTCATTTACATAGCTCTGATCCTGAGTTTCTTGCCTAGGGGCTGTTTCTTCTGTGCTCTCTCCTTCCCCCTTATTCTCTAACTGCTGCTGCTCTAGCCAATCTGAATGCGCTTTCCTTATAGCTTTGAAGGGAGGATCGACGGTAGTGTTCTCGAATTCTCTTTTGTTTCTTTCTTTCCACACCTGCCACAAGATGTTCGCAGTTAAACCAATGTGTTCCATCCCTTCTGTCCTGTGCCTTGCTTCTGAGATTCTTAGCCACCACCTTTTGAAATCTCCCTGCTGCTCCTTTGCTCCGTCCCACTGAATGGGAGAAGCCTTCCATATGTTTTCCGTGTGGGGGCAATTCAACAAAAGATGTTCAACTGTTTCCTGTGCTGTTCCACACATCTTACATATCGGATCCCCCACCCCCGTTCATTTAAACACTGCTGCTTTCACCTATGCTGACTTATAAGCTCCTCCACCTTCTCCAGCTCACAGTGATTCCCTCGCCTAGTAGTTGGTTTCCCTGTATCAGTGTCTGGGATCCACTTGTGTCTCCAAATATTTGTACTCCTTCCATTTCCTATCCTTCTGATCATTCCAGCAGTAATTAAACTTCTTGCCCCCATGAGACCTTGCCAAATCCAGGATGCATTTTTGGAGATATTGCACTGCAGGATGGATTCCTGTGGAGAATATCTGGATTTCAACACCTTACTAACCAACAGATTTGGTTTAGTAAGTATCCTCCAAACTTGTTTTCCTAACAGCGCTTGATTGAAAGCTTCAATATCCTTAAATCCTATACCTCCTGCACTTTTGTCCATTGCCAATCTTTCCCAAGACAACCAGTGCATTTTGTTCTTACCATTGGCTTCACCCCACCAAAAGTTGGCCATCAAAGCACGGATATCTTTGCACAACCTTCTGGACAGCTTAAAGCAAGACATCACGTATGTAGGCATTGCCATTACAACTGCTTTCAGAAGCACTTCCTTACCTGCTGGACTCAGTAGTTTGTTTTTCCAATTCTGGCATCTTTTCCTGATATTGTCCCTCACAAAGCCAAAGATCTGTTCTTTAGACCTTGAAACTACCATTGGAAGTCCCAGGTATTTGCCTTGTTTAGCCTCTACCATTCCTCCTAAGGTCAGGCATACCTCCTTTTTCTGCTCATCATCCATGTTTTTGCTAATAGAAACGCCTTCTTAAGGTAGTGCTTAAGTTCACTGTTTATAATATGACAATCAGTTTGAAATTTGAAATGCTAGTGTTTCATTAATCGGTTGGACAGGAGGAAGAGGACTATACAGACGAACAAGAGGAAGAGGACAGTAGTTGCTTTAGTGAAGCATTTGAGCCAGATCATCAGGTTCAGGCTGAAATTGCTAAAAACACGGTGGAACTGGAGGAAGAGCTCTCTCTTTTTCAGCAGGAAGACCAAACTTGTAACCTGAAAAAGATTGAGATCAGAACAACTTTGTCACTTTTGCAAACTCAGATTGAGGAATTGGTAGATAAATCATCTGCTAGCACCCATTATGGAACAACGTTGACAAAATTGCCAGATGAGAAAACAAATGAACTAAGAAGGTTATCTAAAGAAATAGAATTGTTAGTAAACAAGGTTGAGGTTGCTCTACAAGATGGGCAGGAGTCCCTTAAATATGTTTCAGATGGGATAATGAACTCCAAACCTCTAGAGCATTGTGTTGACATTGAAATGAAAGAACATTCATGTGATCAGAATTTATTGGTGTGTCTGACGGGCGCAGGGTATACATATCAATTTAACCTCATTCTAATCAAGTTTTACATTTATAAATTCCTAAACACCCCACACGCGATTTATCGCAAGTATACGAATCGTGAGCGAGTATAGGGTATTAAGGGTCGATCCCACAAGGAAGATTGCAATTACCGGTACTACTAAAGCTTCTCTATTAATTAGACTATCAATGAATTATAACAAATTTTACCTACTCAAATTATACAAAATAACAAATAAAAGCTCCTTAGGTTGTGGTATCCCTAACTACTCATGCAAGTGCTATATTTGGATCATTGAGTACTACATCTAGGCTAGTTATAGTGTAATTTCCTTAAACATGTGAAACCTACTTTCGTAGTGAATCAACTATACTCATAACTAATCCATACCTATTTTCATGGTTATGAAATTAGCTACAAGTTCATTTCTTCAATGAAATTACATGAAATGAATCACTAAAAACCACATAAGTGCACCTCTACTTTCGTGAGTGTACTCCCTATGTTTAGCACTTCTTGAACTAGTGTTAAATCTCAATTTTCATTGCAGAAACAACACCTTAGATAATCACAATCAATGGTACCAGATTAATCATGATTTAAGAAGCCAAAGTGCTAAATAACTTGCTCAAATCATAGCAATCAAATAACCAAATAATAAACACTAACAATCATAGACAGTTCAACCAAACCCAAGGCATAAACTTTAGAGACACATAAATAACACAAAATCCAGAACTTGTATATTAACTAAACTTGGAATCAAATACAAAAGATAAAGAGTTTGGAAGGAATACAACCCTTGTCACATGAGCTTTCTTCCTTGCCTTCTTCATCCTCCATCTTCATCCTAATCTAGATAATAAACAAGAATGGAAAAGCTACACTACTCTATACTAAGCTAAACTAACACTAGGAAGATGAAAGAGCTACATTTCTGCAGCTTCAAGCTTTCTCCCGTATGTCTCACTCTCTCTTTTTCTGCTATGAACTCCCTCTGCTATCTACTCCTTCCTTTTTGCAATGAATTTGGCTATTTAATGATGAAAGGTGGTCAAGAAATGAAGCTTTACACTTTCTCCTTACAGCTGGTAATGTCTCTCACATGTCTAGCATCACATGTGAGTTGGTGGAGGTGAAATTGAGTTTTACGCGTATAAAGCAGCCTTTTCTGACCAGTGATCCGAGCTGCTACAGTGCCTCGGATCCGTATGGATCCGAGCTCGGATCCACTAACCCAGAAACAGCCGAGGGTTCGGATGAATAGTGGATCCGAGTGTGGATCACTTGCTCTGTTTTTGGCCCAACTTCAACCGATCTTTTCTTGATGTTAGAGGCTGAACCAGCTCATGTGTAAAACACGAAAGTTGTAGCCTTTTGAGTTATCTTTCCAATGCATCAAGAATCACCTCATTTGGATCTGTGTAGGCGGAGATATGACTGAAATACCCTTGTCTGCTCATTGCCCTGTTTCAGCTTCGACCAACAGAAATTAGCTAATGTAATTCGGCTTTTTGATTTTGAAAACCTTCAAACTGGATTCGGATGTCTTCACCAAAGTTGTAGATCTATCTCTTATCTTCAAATGGGTTCAAGAATCATCCCAATCCGATCATTGTAACTCAAGTTATAGCCGAAATACGAAAATGTGTCAAAACTGTCAAAATACACAAAATCCAAGTAAAAAGTGATAAAAACCTCATTTAATTGAACAAAAGCATTTTATACCAATTATAGCCAAAATGAATTATTTTCTTCCAATAATATACCCAAAGTGACTAAAAATAATATAAAATATCATACAATTATTACGTAAATTAGTCACTTATCAGTGTCAAAGTATAACGAATGATGGAAACAATACAGTTGCAACCAGTCTTCAGGATCAAGAAACAGAATCTTTACTTGAAAGGTTGAGCCGACTGCAAGCTGAGACAGCCAAATTTTGTATAGAGAAGGATAAGCTGCAGTTGTCAGAGAAAGAGAGCAAAAGGTTTTGTGAGTCAGATGGTTGTTTTGCAGAATGCTATGGATTGTTTTGAAGATGAATTCAAATCCAGAATTGATGCTCTAGAACGGAAGCTACAGGTGTTGGTAGGAACTGTGCAGCACAATGGTACTTCATGGCTTGAGCAGAAAAGGGTATGTCACTCTTATTTTCGTTTTATCATTGTATAATTGGATTGCATAGTGCGCTCAGCTCTGAGATCTGAACTTTTTCCTGAGTAACATGTTTTTCTAATGTCAATCTTTTGAAGTGTGAAGGATTCCCTAACCTACCAACAAAACTAAAGCCTCTTATGATGGTAACTCATGAATGGGCCTTGGTAGAAAAGGTTTTCAACTTCATTGTCTGGCTGGGCATATCTTTACCAATATCCCATTACATCATTTTATTTAAGCTCTTAAAACTCAAAAATATGTTACCCTTTTCACTTGTCATTCTTGAAAGATGATCCCTGCATTTTGCAGTTGCTTGAAGCTAAACTTGGCAGTGCTACGGCAATTCTCACTCAGGCTAGTGAGAACCTCGAACCTGATATTGCTAAAGCTGTTGAACTTGTTCTTGATGAAATGTATGACAAGGTTGAGTCCATAAAGAGATGCTTGAAAGATGTTATTGTTGAAAGGAATGATCTGTGTAGAAAAATGCTTGATTATCAGAGACAGCTTGAGATGGCTCGAACGAATGCTGAAGAAAACAAGCAGCTTTAAACCAGAATATTGTAACAACTGTCATTTCAAGGATTATTGTTGTCTTAATAGCATGGAAGATGGAATAGTTAGCTGATCATTGACTTCTCCTTTGGTCTATCTGCACCATCCTGTCAAATTGATGAACTATCGCGCATGAGTCTTTGATTTCTGTTCCTTTTACCCTTTTGTTGTTAGGGATTCAGTGACTGCAGATGCGCTTAAGATGATAGCTTTCTGCTTTGCTGGTTTGAGCATTTGCATTATGTAAATAATCTTCATCATTTCTTACAACAATACCAATATCAGCTCTCTCAAACACGAACAAAGAATTAAGATTCTTAATATAGCATTTGAATCAAAGCTCAAAAATTTAAGCTTTCAAAGGATTCGAATTCAAGCACAAGTGCTAACCATCTCTTATTTAGGAACTAGGAAGAAATCAACTAGCACATGTTTATTAAATCTTTGGGAGTAGCGAAAGGGGAACAGGATTAAACCTACGTTCGAACAAACTGCACTAAGACACGGTGGTAATTCTATAAAATTTGAGAAAGATGATGAGATCAATCAACGGGAAACGGCGTGATTCCGAACTTGGTACAATTGTGCGGCTACTGTGCATTTTACATGATTTGGTGTACATTTATATTTCTTTGTTGTACACCTAAACTTTATTCTTGTACACCAATTCAACAAATTAATATAATCTTTTGAAAATGTATAACAATTCTACCAATTGTATAGCAAGCCCAACCGCATTGACTCCGAACCCCAATTAACGGTTGTAAAACCTCATTGCCATCTCCATTGTAATAGATTATACATATTCGATGCTTAAGTTTATATATTTAGACTTTGGAACAGGAAAATAAAATATCAATGTAGCAAGACAATGCATGCGTTTTCTAGGACTAGCAAGTAGAAGGGTGTTGGCGTCTACTTAAATTATTTTGGCCTGATCAATTTAGTTTTTTTTTTTTTGGTTGATTTTGGTTGCTTTGTACTCAAGGGGCACAACCATAATTTATGGCTTCTATCTAGTACAAAAACATACCTGCAAGACTCTCGGATATGGCTCCAAGGATCTGCTCATGCAGGAGATTGAATCCATGTAGTTAGCTATTAATTCAGTCATGGAGTTTCAGATAATTTTATACATGAGATCTTTCATCCAATAAAAGATTAAATTGGAATATCATGTTAATGAAAGGAAGACGGCACTTAGCATCAAGCTAATATTTCAATTTTGAGAGTTGGAACGGTGTGGAAGGGCTAAGAGGGTAGAATAAAAAATAATATATATATATATATATATATATATATATATGTGTGTGTGTGTGTGTGTGTGTATGTATGTGCATGTGTGTGTATATATATGTGTGTGTGTGTGCGCGCGCGGGGGGTATGCATGTATATATTAGAAATCTAACTAAACAATATACTAAAAAAAGAATACAAAAAAATTATATTTTCTACATTTTGGCATGTGGATAGAAATTCAATTATGATAACAAAGGTTTCTGATATTACGTACTTTAGAGGAACATCATGGATTAGTTGCATTTCTTTCATTTTTCTATCCCTGTTAGGGATAGGGGTGTCAATGGACTGGGTTCAGGTCCAAAATTTTCAATTTCGACCTGAACCCATTTTTATGTTGTGGATCTGGACCCGACTCATATACCCGATGGGTCTTAATTAACCTTAGAGTCCTGGA